TCCATTCTTGCATCTCCGGCCCTTTTATTGGACAACATCTTCGGCCCCTTTCACTGGATGACATTTCCTCTTAGCGCACGCTATTTGAAGCCGACTAAAGCTATTCCTCTAATATTCATCTTATACTATATTAAAGGAAGACTCTGCTTTTCAGACAAATGAACCTCACCTCCATCTAAGTCACTCAAATCAATTTCTCCTTCTGGTCCGCTTGTGGAGGACGGAGCCTCCTCTTGCGGAGGTCACCAGCCTCCGCGTGCGGAGGCTGGTTCGAACAGAACCTCCGCGTGCGGAGGTCACCAAATCCGGAGGACAGAGCCTCCGCGTGCGGAGGTCATCAGAGGAAAGAGTTGAAAAGAAACGATAAGAAACAACTCAGTACCATCTCCCGATTTATCTCCCTGGAGTAGATTAGATGGCTAGCAAAGGTACTTTTTCCTCCCCCTTGCTCTCCATGGCCGCCGGTAACAAATTAAAAAACAGAAATTCCAAAAAAATGCAATAAAAAGCTTTCTGGATACCCCTTTTGCCTTGAATCGTCATCATCATCCCAACAAACTCATGAAGTAAAATCGAAAAAGGGGTATCCAGAAAGGGGTAGATTAGATGGGTCAGAGATGTAAAAATAAAAATACAAAATGGGTCAGAGAGCCTCTGCGTGCGGAGGTCATCAGATCCTCCGCTTGCGGAGGACAGAGCCTCCTCGTGCGGAGGCCAGATCCTCTGCACGCGGAGGCGTGCGGAGGCATGATCCGCTCCCGTGACTGTTCATTTGTGGTTCGTCCGGTTTGCTTTCATCCAAATAGCGTGAGCCTATTTTTGTCTGCTTCAGACTCCAATGATTCGGATTGGTCCATTGGTTGGGTTGAACCGCACGCTCCCGATTTCCTCAGCGATGTTGATGCCGATGATAGTTTTGCTGTGTTGGTCCCCTGCTATAGGCATGATTGCAAGGAATTAGAGAAGCAGGAAGAGGAGGTGCCTAATCAGCTGTTCTTTAGTGCCATGAAGAACCTCCCATATGAGTACTCTGCTGGTAAGAGCTGAGCTGTATTGAAGAAATGCATAATTTTTGTCCTTAATTTTTATTCTTTTACAATGTCATTGCTTTTTATTATAGTACAAAATGGTATCGTTCTTTAATTTGAATGATGCTCCAGTGGTATTAGGCCGGATTGGAGCTTCTTAGATTTGCACGTAGAAGTAATTATGCTTGAGGCGTTGATGTAATTGAGTCTTTAAATGCTCTTTGCTGGGGGCACTTAGATTTATTAAGTATTCTTACCGTGTTTGGCTGCACTTAAAAAGACTTACTTTCTAAAAAAGCACCGTCCGTCAGTTAGTAAAAAAAATGTAACTTTGAAGATCATCGACAAAAAGACTCTTACTTTATAAACCGTACACGGATACATCAATGAAATTTAAATTTTTGCTGTTAGAGATTTAAAACCTATATATATATATATTTTTTAGTTCTTCCGTCATTTGCACTAGCCTATAGGCTTTTGCATTTCAGAAGTCAGGGACCTCAGCTTTGTCGTATATTCCTTGGCGTGTGTAGGATCTTTTCTCTATTAGAAGTAGTACTCTATTAGAAGGATTGTTCGACTTGGTGTTTGTTGGATGGGTCCATAAGATAGTGATATGGCGATACATGTGCACTTTTCTCATGCCGTATCTATTATTGATAAATTGTGTTGCTGGCGTAATATCTGGAATTTTTTTGACGGGTTATATTTGAATTTTTCTCCTTGTGTGCCCCTGACGACGGTTTTATTTGAGGCTTATGTGTTCCATTTCCAAACAACTGGCTGATGGAACCAAAGGAAGGGGACACAATCTTTATGTATTTAACCTTTTCTGTCGACTTTTGAGGCCTTAAACTGCTTAAATTGAAAATTAAACGGGTATTTACATATTCTTCGTGGATTTAATTCAATATTGATTTGTGTCAATATAATTTATTTCTTTCAGTCAAAAATGACGGCTATAGAAACTGAATTTGGCTTGCAATTTGTTTTTGTTGTAGAAGGCAAAAAGTATATGGAACCGTGGCTTTCCACTCTCCAAAACATGTGAAGCTGCGATGTCTCCGAACATGATTACTGCTGCATTATGTATACTATCGAATCAAAAGCCGTACTTATCGGAATTAGAACTTCCGAGTATTGCTTAAAGTATGAGAC